CACTTGAAAGGAATTATCTGGGTGCCTCACACACAAAAGAAGGTTGAGTATTATTTATTTGTAATAGTCATATTTGTGTGAACTGGGTTGAGAAAGAAAATTGATTCCTGTCTGTAGGTGAAAAACAGAAAGAGACAGTTAATGGCCCAGGGAGTCCAAAATCAGACATAGGAATCGGCAACACAGGCAGCCTATGTAGGCCCCACAAGGTCCCATTTGAGAATTTGTTAATTATGCTGCTTCTTTCTTAATTCCTTTGCACAGTCTTTTGCAAAGAACAGCACACAGCCTTGGTTTGGAGGAAAGTGCCTGATTTTCTGCTACTGTCTCTCTGAGTTTCAGACTCACACCTTCGCACAAGTTCAAAAGGTATTCTAAAGTCTGACTCTCTCCCATCACTGAAGCTGGACTCATACATGAAGTTGATTATGCCCTGGCCTCCACGGCACGTGCTTGTTTAGCAGGAATCAGTGCTTCGCAGTTTGCCAGGGTCCTTCCTAAGCACACGGCTATTCATGGCATCTTTCTGGCCGCTCCCCAGCCTGGAAGTTTTACATCTCCGATAAATGATGTGTCTATGGATAGGAATCTGGATAGTGAAGTCTCCTGGTGAAATGCCCTCCACCACCTACATGTACAAAATGAATGACAAATATTCTTCCCCAGGAATAACCAGGATTCAATGAAGAGAGGTCTTCCTGAATATATTAGTATATTCAGTCATTGAACGAAGAATTACTGAATGCCCTTTATGTGCAGACAGTGTTCTAGGTGCTGGGAATGACGTAGTGAATAAAAATATCAAAAATCGTCATTCTCAAGGCACTAGCATTCCAGTGAGGAACGCTGCCAGTAAGCAGACGCCTGGGAAGGACACAGGGCACGTCACAGAGCAGCCTGCTAGAAAGAAGAAGTGGGAAGGGTGGTAGAGAGGGCTGGGAGGAGGGGAATATGGTTGTAACTTGGTTGTGGTAAAACACTGTCTCCCTGAGAAGCAGACATTTAAACAGAGACCTGAAGGACAGGGAGTGAGTAGAGAACCAGGGGAGTGTTCTGGCAAATGAGAAGTCTCCGATGCTGGAATTTGGCTGGAAGATTTGGTATCAGTGATGAGACCAAGTTGCTGGTGCAGAACCAGGGTGCAAAGCAGGAAGTGCGGGGAGGGGGCAGTGGGCACGGAGTAGGTAGGAGAGGGTCAGCAGGCAAGGGGGAGGAGAAAGAAGACTGCAGGTATGGAGCCTTTGGGACACTCAGAGGAACTGGGCTTTTCTCTGAAATGGAAAACCACAGAGAGGCACTGGTCAGAGCAGTAAAATGGCTTTAGTTTACATTGACAGCCTCCTCCTGGCTGCTATTGCGATGATTTTGCCCTTGTCAAAGGTAGAAGTGGATGAAGGACAATGGTGGTGGCTGCAGAGGAGGTAGAAGGAACTGACTGAATTCTGGGTAATTTTTGATGTCAGAGCCAATTGGGTGGATGAATTGAACACATGTGATAACAGGTGACAGTCAAAGATAAGACCTGATTTTCACACCTGAGCACCTGGAAGCATGGAATTACCAATTCCTGGAGAAGACCACCCAGGAAGAGTGGATTGGCAGTGGGTGAGGTTATATTTTTCTGTAAGGATTGTGAGCTGTGAGACTTCAGAGTAGCCACATGAGTTGGGTGCTGGATAGGACCGTGGAGCTCAAGGGAGAACTGTGGGCTACACATTAGGCAGCTGGCAAGAACAGATGACATTTAAAGTTAGAGTGGACCCAACTGGCAGACCTGTTTCACATTGTTGCCCAGTGTTTTAAAAGAAGAGATTTGTGTACCTTTCAGTGGAGCATATGACCTCCAATTGTCTACATGGCCGTCAATCTCTTTTGCTTTATTCCTATCCTACTTTACTCACTGTGAAGCCTGCAGTCTTGTAAGCTCCTCGAGAGTAAGGGTCTTGAACTTCATGGTTCAGTGATGCATGTTTTTGGCACCACATCTGTTCTCAGAAAGTGACAAATGAATGAATGATTTCTGGAACAGAAAATGCAGTGTGCTCAACAAAGATTAAAGGAAACTCAACTCCCAGGAGTCTACTGGAAGATTGGAAAGCAAGGCAGGAAACAGATTCAGAAGAAAGAAATGTACCAGAATAATCCTTTTACCTCCAGGCAGACCCAAGGGATGGAAAACTGGATAGGGATATACAAGTGATTCAGGAGGGAGAATTTGAGAATGACAACTGAAAGCAGGCATAGACATAGATATTAGAATCAGTCCAAGTCAACAGAGCGGCACAGATTTGTTGGCATTACCAGCTGGCTTCCCCCAGCCAGGCTTTCCAGTTGCACACCCTCAAGGTTCTAGTAGCCCAATTGAGGACCACTCCACATTCCACAGATGAATGAGGTTCTTTCATGTGTTCTTCATTTTGAGCTCTTCTCCAGTACCTTTCTGTCCACTTCAGCCCATGGACTCTGACTCAATATTCAACAATCTAGTTAAGTGTTCTGCTTCTGCAACATCGCCTCCCAACATCACATCGTACAAATGTAGAGTCTCATGTTACACACAGTTGAATTTGGCTTCCAATCTGCCCTCTGGCTTACACAGCACTAGGACAAAGCCTAGGTAACAGCAAGTAAATGTGGATTGTATTTGATGTAACACAGGACCTGAAAACAGAGGACTCACAAATAAGAAAGGGTCGTTCTGTTGCATAAATGTGCTGCATCCAAATATCCCTTTAGATACAGCACATTTCTGTACTAAGAAAAAAATTTACGTTTACTAAGTGTTTACATTTATGGACTAAGAAAGGTGGCATCTATATCCTGTAGGAAGCAGTCCATGGATCCCAAATATGTCCCCTTATATGCCCAAGACAACTATGTCTTCATAGTTATCAATTAAAATGCTACATATTACATTCCATTACTTTAGAATATATAATAGAATATAAAGGATGGCAGAAAGCTTCCATATCCATCATATGGAGCAAGTATGAACTCATTCGACCATAAAATTACCCTATTGATGAAAAGAAAAGCAAAGATTCTACGTAAAATAGCAAATAAGACAGAAGAGCTCAGTGTGTGCTGCAGGAATGTCCATAAAGTTGGCAATCTTGACCTTCATAAAAGGCAGCCATCTTGTCCTGGAAGGCCTGCCAAAACTTTCTAAAAGAGGTGAAAGGATGAAAAATGTAAACCCCTCACTACTTATTTACACTTGATTACCTCATATACCAGGGGAAATCTGAAGAATCAAGTGAAAAAATCTTCAAGAACCGTTTTTCAAAAAAAAAAAAAAAAATTGCAGCCTAATGGCAGGGTACATAATATATACTCAAAATCAAGTTTTTCTTTAAACTGGTAAAAAAAATGTACAATATTATTGGGGGGGAAATCACAGTAGCATCAAATATTACAATATGTCTACAATAGATTTAAAAGAAAAGGTGAAAGAAACACAAAAATAAAGTGCAGAATTGTTATTGAAAAAGGGAACACTAAAGGAAAACGTTTCATGCAATTGGAGGGAAATTACGTTTCTAGATGGGAACACAGTATTTTCTAAATGCCACTTCTTAAAAGTGTGCGTGTGCGTGTGTGTGTGTGTGTCTGTGTAAATCCCCCCAAAATGTCTATTTCTTTTTCTACTTGAAAATTCAGTTCTAAATTAATCTGAAAGAGTATCTGAAGAAAACCAGTAAACTTATTTTTTAAAAAGAAAAATCAGCTATCAAAATAAACTCTAAAATAATAACTCAAATGGCTTGTTAGTACAGACAAACACAAATATATCAATGGATCACAAGGTGTCCAGATAAACTCATAGGCGTATGAGAGCTCAGTAAAAAACATTATTTAGTAAACAATAATATTTAACAGATGATAAGTGTTAGGAAAATTGTGTGCTCATTTTGGAAAATATGGGTCTCTCTCTCATATGATATTATAAACATATTCCAGCAAGATCAACATATTTGGGAGAAACAAAGCCAAAACAAGAAAACGAAAAGCTATGAAAGCAGTTAAAACGTGTAAGTCCATTATTTTTATTTTATAATCGTTCACTGTAAAAGTCTTTCGAAACAAGATGCAAAAGGCAAAAGTTATAAAGAAGAGTAAATCAAATTACAATTTCGGTAAGTCCAAAGATATCATAAACAACTTAAAGTACAAAAGGAGACTGAACAATTTTTGCAAAGTATATAATTGATGAAGAGTTGATTTTAAAATAGTATAATTAGAGGCTCTATAAATAAAGAAGAATAAAACACTCAATTTTAAAAAATGGCCGCAATGTATAAGCAGGCAACTCACTAAAGGAGAATTAATACAAATTGCTAAGGGATGGAAGATATCAGCCTCCATTTCAGAATGACCAGGGGAATGCACATTTATATGAGAATGAGATCACACTAGGTGATAATATCCAGTGTTCATCTGCGTGGAGGCTGGGGTGTGGTCTTCTCACTTACAACACTGGTTCAAGTTGGCAGAACCTTTCAGAAAATCAATTTGCCAGTAGCTACTGAAACGGAAAGTGTATAATCTTCCCCCCCTAAAATTCCTATCCAGGAAGGAAGAATGAAAGTAGGAAGAAGGAAGGAAGAAACGAAAGAAGGACAGTGGAGGGAGAAACAGGGGTAAGGAGGGAACTCAGAAGGAAGGGCAGAGAAGATGGGAGAGAAAAAGAGGGAGGAAGAAGGAGAAAAACGAGAGTCTGAGAAAAAAGAAATTCAAAAATCATCACTAGCCTGGGGGCAATGGCTCACACCTGTGATCCCAGCACTTTGTGAGGCCAAGGCGGGAAGATGACGTGGTGAGGAATTCAAGACCAGCCTGGCCAAAATGGTGAAACCTCATCTCTACTAAAAATACAAAAATTAGCTGGGCATAGTGGTGCATGCCTGTAATCCCAGCTACTCTGGAGGCTGAGGCAGATGAATTGCTTGAACTGGGACCTGGGAGATGGCGGTTGCAGTGAGCAGAGATTGTGCCACCACTGTACTCCAGCCTGGGCTACAGAGCAAGACTCTGTCTCAAAAAAAAAAAAAAAAAAATCACTAGTTTATCTTTAGTGACCATGAACCTAAATAGTCTTCATAGTATGATTACAATTTGAAGCTATCTTTCTTAATTTCTAATTTAGGAAAATCTTACCAAGACTGTATATCAAATAATTCAAAATTGATAATATAAATTATCATCTGCTAAGTAGCTATGTTTTATCCTAGTTGTTGCTTCTGAATAGCTTGAAATATAGTTTATAATACGCTAGTTTATTTGAAAGCAGCTCACATATACAGTAATAACCCAAAGCTTTAGACATATGCAAAAGTGCTTAGTTTAATGTCTGTACTTATGTTCACATAAAAAGTTTTTTTACGTGGTTCACTGAAAATGAACCAAGTAAAAAATGAAACGAGTTAAACATTTTTATTCACTTCTGTATTAGAAAGATTTTATTTTCTTTGCTGAAACCTCCATGACCAAATACTAAATAGAAGATATAAATGATCATGTCAGAACTAATTGTAAATAGATCAACTAAGGCAAAACTTTTATTTTTATTTCTTTTATTTAAATTCCTTCTTACTATACTATTAGTTTCTACTTAATAAAATGCAAAACGAGGTTACCCTTGCCTGTTCTGAACCTTAGAGTCTTCTTAATAATACACACACACACACACACACACACACACACACACAGACACATAGCGGTTTTTCAAACAACGGAAATTCTTGGTGTCATGTTCTCCTTTACCTCCAGAAACATACTATCATTTTTACTATCATTTAAAAATCTGGCCATATGGCCATTCTTTTAACACTACCCTAGTAGAGTTTATGTCTTGTAGGGGTAAAAATATTAAACTCCAAGTCACACAAATAGCCTAGTAATGATAAATGGATAAGCACAATGAAGGAAATGCAGAGATCCACAAAGGTGGCACACGGCAATCAAAGTGCAGTGTGCTTGGGAGGCTGCAGGGTTACATTTCCAGGGATGTTGTGAGTCTTTAAACGCAGACACGATTAAAAATTAAATAATATATTCTTACAATTAAATAATTTATATTAAAAATAAGATAAATATTTTACCATTTACTATAATCTATGCTTTTGAGGTTATTTATATCTTTCGTGTCTGCATGGTGGAAATACTACAGAATAATATGTTTTTTGTTTTAATTTATTTTATTGCATTTTAGGTTTTGGGGTACATGTGAAGAACATGCAAGATTGTTGCATAGGTACACATGTGGCAGTGTGATTTGCTGCCTTCCTCCCCATCACCTATATCTGGCATTTCTCCCCATGCTATCTCTCCCCAACTCCCCATCCCCCACTGACCCTCCCCTATTTCCCCCCAACAAACCCCAGTGTGTAGTGCTCCCCTCCCTGTGTCCATGTGCTCTCATTGTTCAACACCGCCTATGAGTGAGAACATGTGGTGTTTGATCTTCTGCTCTTGTGTCAGTTTGCTGAGAATGATGCTTTCCAGGTTCATCTATGTCCCTACAAAGGACACAAATTACTGGGTATATATCCAAAGGATTATAAATCGTTCTATTAGAAGGACACGTGCATACGAATGTTCATTGCAGAATAATGTGTTACAATGCCTCTCTTTCCAACTCCATGGGACGCCATGTTGGCAGCTTGAAACTGACTGTGGTGGGAGTATCTAGACCACAGATACGAGCAAAGATTACAGATTAGTGGCTTGTTTTGTCCCAGAGATCTAGTTACTAAACATTTTCCAGCACACTGTTGCATGAGGCTGGAGAGCAGGGAGCAGTGAACTAACCTGCAGATAGCAGGTAAGTGGAGATGAACAGGGAAGATGCATCAGCTGCTAGTTGTCCAGCCACACTCACTCTCGGCTTGCCCTAACACAGTCACTGTTTTGTACATGCTGACAATTTACCCAGCTATAAAACCACATATCCTAGCCTACTGCAGATGACCTAAAAATCTGATTATCTAAAAAAGTACTGGCCGGATGTGGTGGCTCATGCCTGTAATCCCAGCACTTTGGGACGCTCAGGCAGGCGGATTACAGGGTCAAGAGATTGAGACCATCCTGGCCAACATCGTGAAATCCTGTCTCTACTTTAAGAACAGAAAAATTATCCAAGGATGGTAGCGTGTGCCTGTAGTTACTTGGAAGGTTGAGGCAGGAGAATCGCTTGAACCCGGGAAGCGGAGGTTGCAATGAGCCGAGATCACGCCACTGCACTCCAGCCTGGTGACAGAGCGAGACTCCATCTCAAAATGAAAAAAAAGAAAATACTGACTTACTTAGTATTTCTTAAACTTTATAGATTTCCCATTATTTAAATGCGTTCAAAAACTGCCTTTAAATTTTTTTACAACATTTATACTTAGCCTACTTTAAGGTAATAATATCTGTGAATTTATGGATTGGATGTATTGTGAACGGCTTTTAAGTACCCACTAAAATGTATAATTGTTGAGTCAGGAGCCACCAGCAACCATGTCATATCTTGCTACTTCTCTTGCCACACTTGAGAAAACACTGCCTAAATACAGTTATTTCTCTTTCACATAGTAGATAAAGAACATGTTAACCAAAAATGCAATTCCATTACATATTTTACGTTTTGAAATTGCTATTGACTTGATATTTTTCATGTAAGAGTTTAGCTTCTTAAGCAGCTTAAGTAAAAACATGATTGAAAAAAAAATTTAAAAATCACCAACCAAGTTGGTAATTTTGGTATATGGTTTCATGAATTTAAACACATTCATGTAACTAGTAGCATAATCAGGAGAGAGTTCAATTACCTAAAAACTTCTCTCATGAAATCCTTTACATACTCCCTGCCAATACCCAAAACCCTAGCAATCTACTGATCTTCTACTGATCTATTGGTCTACTTTGTATCATTATGACTGTCCTTGGAGAATGCCATACTAATAGTCATATACTACATAATCTTCTCCAAACGTCTTTTCTCACCCAGCATAATGTCTGTGAGATTCCCTGAAGCTGCTGTACATCAAGATTGTTTATACATCAATAGTTTGTCCTTTTTCACTGCCTAGTAGTATTCCAGAACATGGATGTGCAGAGTTTACACATTCAGTAGTTGAGGGACACTTGGGTTATTTCCAGTTTTTAGCTATCACAAATAAAGCTAGTATAAACACTCATGTGCAGTTTTGGTAGGAATATAAGTTTTCATGTCTCTAGGGTTAAGACCTAGAAGTTGGATTCTGGGTCACAGGTTAAGTATATGTTTATGTGAAATTACCAACCTGTTTTCCAGAGTCTATAGAATTTTACATTCCCTCGAGCAATGTATAAGAATTCTACCTGCTCCACATTCTTTCCATAACCTAGTACTGTTGCTGTTTTGAATGTTAGACACTGTGATAAGTGTACAGTGATCTCTTTAGGATTTTCATTTGCATTTCCCCAATGGCTAACAATATTCAACATCCATGTGCTTAGCTGCCACCCTTATACCTTCTTAGATTCAGTGTCTGTTCAAGTCCTTCTAGTTTAAACTACAGAGGTACTTCTTTTTGACCATATTCCTATATAAAATTTTTGAGATATAAAAATGTGGCTGGATTCTGCAGTTTGCTAGAATTTTTTATGCTGTCAACTCATTTGCCTTTCAAAAATTTAATAAATGTGGTCTGAAAATTATTGAATAGGAAAAAACCATCACTAGAGGAGCTTTCCAATACACAGTTTTACTTCCTTGGAGTGAAATGAGAGCAAAATGGGTTGGGAGATGCATTCTCCTGAATAATATAACCAAATATACAAAGCAGTTAATGAGTAATAACACAGTGATTGGCACACAGCTGCCCATGTAACATTTACATTCACATAAATTTATTCTCCACACTTGCTCATTGAGGTATCCTAATGCACATTTGATTGTTATTCATTTTATTTATAATTTCTAAACTAGATTTTTGATTAGGAAAGGATTTATCATCTGTAGGCACAGCTGTGTGTGAAACAACAACTTAGTGAATGCGTACGAGGTCGTCTCTGCAAATTTTGTTCTAGGTTTATTGCATTTATTCCAGTGCCTCTTGCCTCCACCTGCTCTAGTAATGGCTCAGATTTATCTTCTAGAAAGAGCTTTGCAACCAGCCCAGTATCTCCCCCAGCCCACACTGACAGAATTTAAAGTCCCTGATGTGAATTCATGCTAATAGGTGGTGAAGGCAAACTTCAAGATAAAACAAAATCTCAGCTTCTCCTGAGGCTCTAACTTTGTCTTCACTATTTTAACATTTGACTTTTTGCAAAAACATTTTTAAGAACTCTAGTCAATGAGATTTTTTTAAATTTCCATATGAAAATATGATGCAGATATTTTTGAAGCCAGATGCTGAGAGTTGAAGAATCAGAAAATGGGTCACAATTGTGTTTTACTTACTAAAAATGATAATATGTGTATGCCGAGCATTATCCTTTATGTGCTATTTATAAAACATAAGTGTTAAAACTAAAAGTTTCCATAGCTATAATTTCTTTCATGGCTTTTGAATGTAAATGTGTATTTATCACACATTTACTCTTTGGCAAATATGGACTAGGCATTAAATAAAAGATCTAAATGACCCACGAAATGCCGGGCAGATGTAATGAGGACTACCCAAATATCTGAATCCATTTCATTTCGAATTTTATATTCAAATTCTTGTGCCTGACTACAAATGTTGGCCTTAAGAAACAAACAAAAGAACAAGTACCTGCACAGACACGCGCATACACACACGCACACACACACACGCATGCACGCGCACACACACAATTTTAATTTTGTTTTTTCATTGCTTAATCCACTTAGATAATCTGACATTCTTAAATATTAATGAATATATTAGGATTGACCACAGTTCATCAAAAGCCTTCAATAATCTATAGTACACTTACTCTCTGAGATAAAATACACAAAACAATTGGTCATCAAAACAAAAGCAGAAGGCCTGGCATGGTGGCTCACACCTGTAATCCCAGTACTTTGGGAGGCTGAGGTGGGAGGATCGCT